TTACATACACACATACAAAACAAAAATCTATTCAATATAACTGCCGGCAACTCCGATTACAGCCTCGATGCGGTTTCTAAAACGATTATCTGCGTTTATCAAGTGTTCTTCATGAACACTTCAAGTGTTATCCCTATCTTCTGGTTTTTATATTAAAAAAATATTTTAGTAAATAATAAATTTTTGTGCGTTCAATTTCTGGCCACTCTGGTGAGCAAAAACTTGAAGAGTTGAGTTACTAAAGGGAATTAATTCAAACTGAGGTATCTAGAAAAGGCATGGCACGTGGAACTAGAAAAATCTAACCCAGCGAATAAAACGATTCGGTCCCAAATTTCAACGTATATCACCTGAAGAATGACGGAAATTACAACGGCCGAAACGTCATGAATATGACAATAAAGATGAGAACAGTCAGAACAATGTAAATAGATTAAGTAATAGATATTGTTTAAAATTAACTAAAATGGGGCGTCTATTTCATATACGAGTATCTACTATAATGACTTTTGAACAAGAATTCTGGCATCTTACCCATCTCTTAAGTATCTTAGTTCTTCATATTCGACTCTGAATTTTGTATTGAGCCCTTTTTGTTGACTATACCTTCTAGGAGCGGCTGTTTTCAGTTTTCGTATTGAATTTCTATTAGTGTATATATATATATATATATATATATATATATATATATATATATATATAGAGAGAGAGAGAGAGAGAGAGAGACAGAGACGCGGTGGTGTAATGAATTGCACCTCGTAAAGAAAACTCCAAGAGTTAGAGTTGTAGACGAATTGATTGCTTCTATAGCGTATTTTTAAAAAATTTAAATTTACTTTCAATAGAGGATCCGAGGCTATTGTTCTTTTTTTATGGATAAATCCACCTGGGACGTTCTTATTCCACCTATCCCTTTTATTAAGTTAATCCTTCTCGAGCGAACGTTCTCAGGTGAGAAAGTGAAAAGACTATATTAAATCCATTGCTAGGTCAGCTGCTAAGAAAGTTGGTTCACTGTGTCGTACGAGACAATTTTTCTCTCCAGAATCTATCTTACATATCTATAAGTCTACCATTTGCCCATGCTTACAATGTTGCTGCCACATATGCTCCGGTATCCATGCTATTTATTTAGCTAAAATGCATGGAACCTCCTTTTGTTTTGGTCGACTTCTAATCGCAATAAACTAAAGCCTAGACCAACGAATTCCCGTTTCGCAGTTGTCGTTCAGTCTTTTCTTCGTTTTCTTCTTTTTATATGTGAGTTGCCTTCCTATTAGATCAAAGAGAAGGGCCGAGCAGGGGGAAAAAGAGATATGCATTAGTAAGGGAAGCAAATGCCTTATTTTAAATTTTATTTTTAATATTTTATTTTCATATTTGGGGACGCCACAAGTTTGAAAAAGAAGTCTGTTTCTATGCACTACTTTAAAAAGAAAAGATAAATTTAATAAAATTAAATTTGATTTGTGGCTCAAATAGACGGGCTGGTACGATTCTTCTTTTTTTTTTTTTTTTTGAAAATAAAATCCACTCTGGGCTTTTTTTGTTTATTTCAGTCATCTCTTTTATAAAATGCCAAATAAAATTTCTCACACCACTTAATCTGAGCTACACCCATTTTATTTCGTATCTGGAAATTTTCCGGCTAAGATTTTTATTCTACCACCCTGTTGACTTTAAATCCTACGTATGTATGTCTGGATGCTTGCATATTCTTTCGCGGATTTGATTGGTCAACGTCTTTGAAGTAACCGGATGTTAGCAACTATAAATACTTTGAATCTTGAATATTTTCTCAAACTTCGTCTCAAATTTTTCCCATATAATTGCAGCGCTGACAGAGTCAGAAGACAGACAGAAAGAGCAACTATATTTTTTTTTTAAACTCCAAGATGACAACAATATGTCTAAAAGTTTTTCTGATACTATGGACGTATATCGGCTTTTCACGAGGCTCTGGAATCGTAAGTATGATACCTTAATTATTTTTGCTTGAAAAAACCCAAGGTTTCACGCATTTGTCACCAAGATATCATATGAGAGCAAGACAACCTAAACCCGCAATAGTCGTACTGATTTTAATAATACGCAATTTGAAGTAGTCTCAGTCTTAACTAGCGTTGATCTGGAACAGGGTCTTTGTGGAACACTTAAAAATGGAATTGATAAACGCGCTTACAGGGCTGTTAAATACGGTGGGAAATAATGAACTTAAATAAAACTTAATATTAACGACTAATAACTTAAGATAGGTACCTCCACGAAATGTAAACAAAAAGAGCATAGCATGATGAAAAAGACGCCGAACTTGACGAAAACAAAATTTTATCGTCTAATGTTCATATTATTATTAAAGAGGAAAAATCAAAATATTTTGGGGGTATTTTTTTACATTTTTTAATCGTTCCAAGCACGTCCGAAATTTTCGTTAAAAATCTTGTTTTTTTTTTCTCAAAAAAAAAAAAAGGACAGATAATCCAACATTTTCAATCATTTTTTTTCCATTTTAGAAAAAAGATGAAAATCTCACTTTGACATTCTTTTAAAAATCAATTATCATTTTTTCAAAACTTATTTTAATAGAATCAGAAATTATAAAATTTATTTAAAATATTTTGAACCAAGCTTAACTTAGCTTCTGCGCCGAAAAAAAATGTAATTTCAAAATAAAACAAAGCAGGTCATAACTTTTCGCGTCACTTGACAAGTGTCGAAAGACATTTTCATGACGTTTAAATAACTTACGGTAGGAAAATTCTTTCTACGGATGGAAGGAAGGGAAATTATTTAGATTTAAATGAACAAATTATTTACCTCGTTACTTTTAAGGAAAACTTTCAGCGCTCTAATTTTTTAATTTTTTTTTTTTTTGTACTTTCATCTTTACGTTTACGATGCTTTATGGAAAATATATTATAAAGAAATTAAAAAAAGACTGTTACGAGTGAGATTAAATTTCATAAGATAGGTATCTAATTAATTTATACTATAGGTACCTTTCTTATGAAATTTTATCAGAAGTGTACATAAAATACTATAATTTTATGTACATTTATTACATTTTACTCTGTTATTTGTATTTCCATTCATTTTATTATTAATTTTGATTGATTTCATTTATGGAAAATGTCATAACTGAGATTAATATAAAAATAAGATCATATAAATTTCATAAGATGATACTGATACTTGTAGGTACCCTTCTCAGTTGAAATTGAAAAATCAAATTAACTTCTACATACGTGTTTCGCAAAAGTAAAGGCCTTAACAGCGGAGAACAATGCTGAACTCAAATAAAACAACTAAATTGTATTCTGGTTGGTCTTCCATACTTTATAATTACCGCCCGATTGTAAACACAAAATTACATTTCTTAGTTACTGCGGATCTTCTCATTAGTCAAAATGATACAATTTTCAAAGCGCTAGAAAATGATCTATCTGATAAGGACACTTAGAAAAACCGATGTGGCTTTTAACTAATTTTATATTTTTTAAAAACTTAATGTAAATATCTATTATAATTAAAGAAATAACAAATAATTGTTTTAAAAATTCAATTTTCATTGAAAAATTTTTTTCCTTTCAGAAAATATTGTCCATATTCATAAAAACAAATAAAAGCATTTGAAATGAAATAGTATCTTTGTTTTATTGAGTTTTGTATGTTACAATTTAGAGCTGATTTTCAAGTACTGCGGATCCAATAAAAAAAAACAAACCCAAAAACAAAAAAAAAAAAACATGATTTTCATTCTTCAAAGCCTTTTGCTTTTAACTGTTGTAATCACTAAAACCGATGTGATCGAATTTCTAAAGTTTTTCATAAAATTAGTTATGGGGTGTTAATAAATATAAAAATATATATTTCTGCCATGACTTTGATAAAAACAATAACATATTTATAATAATTTCATTCATCTGTGAATAGTTTCTGAAAGTTTCATTAACATCTGACAATTATTTTTATTTTTGCAAGATTTTCCAAATTAATGTGTCTAATACAAAAAAAAACGTGCTAAAAATTGTCTATGTTATTAACTAGTTCTGGTTGGTACAAATAGAAACAAGGTTTTTTAATCAAAATTTAGAATGTTCTAAAAAGAAGGAAAAATTTAAAAAAATAATTAAAAATAACTTTGGTCTTTCCTCTTAATAATAACATAAACATTTAGACGATAAAATTTTGTTTTCATAAAGTTTGGCGTCTTTTTCATCAGACTGTGCCCTTTTTTTAGCGATTTCGTGGAGTTACCTAACTTAAGATAACCTGGCCTGTTTTTGTGCTAAACCCGCTTTCCATAACTAATTACTACAAAAAAAAAGCAGTGAAATTTCTTGATGAATCTTCATTCTTAAGTTACTGATTGAATAAGCTTATGGTGAGTTCTTCGACAATAAAATATCCGTAGAAATTCCCCTATCGCATTGTTAAATATTTCAGCTTAACAACCTTACATAACTAGAAAGACCCGTTGATAATTTCACTGTTTTCCTATTTTAATTCTTAAGTTAATGATTGAATAAGCTCATGGCGAGTTCTACGACAATAAAATATCCGTAGAAATTCCCCTATCGCATTGTTAAATATTTCAGCTTAACAACCTTAAAAAAAAAACTAGAAAGACCCGTTGATAATTTCACGGTTTTCCTATTTGAATTCTTAGTTAATGGTTGAATACGCTTATGGTGAGTTCTTCGACAATAAAATTTGACACAGAAGCAAAAAAGAAAACTACTTACAAGACAAGTTGACTCTTCTCTGTTAAAACTTTGAAATACGCTTTTCTTTTGTAAAAGTCAAAAAAAAAAAAAAAAAATTCGGCTTTGGTTCCTTTCCAAATTTTTGGAATTTGAAAATACAAATACTAAGTTAAACTAATTTTAATCCAATTTCAAAATTTAAATTGAAAATTAAAAATATGTATTGCAGATTGTTGCATCTGATATAATAAATTTAATGAAAAAAAAACAAAAAAACTCTAAGATGACAACGATATGGACATATATCGGCTTTTCACGAGGCTCCGGGATCGAAAGTATGATAACTTAATTATTTTTGCTTGGACCCCCCCCCAAAAAAAAAAACCCCGTAGTGTCGCGCATTTGTCACCAAGATATCAGGTGACAGTAAGACATCCTAAACTTGCAATACTCATACTGATTTTAATAATACTCAACTGTATCGAGTAATTGACATTAGAGATCAAGTGACAGCATGTCTATTCAAATCTCCGTCACTCTCGGAAATGTCTCATTATTTTATAATCGTTGTTTTGACATGAATTTTATCGAGTAATTGTCATTATAAAATCGAGTGACTTACATTGATGAGAATGTCTTCCCAACCTCTATCACTCTCACGGTGTCTTTTCACTGATTCCTTTTCTTTATTACAAAGCTATGTATAAAATTAACCGCACTTTCGCAATAAAATATTTTAGGTTCTTTCACATTGCCTGCTTATAGCTTGGTCCTAATTTGATCAGGTGATCGAAGTTTCAACTGGATCGCACCAGTTTTCTTGCGACTGTTACAGTGTAGACATGGCCACTCCGCTAGCAGTGTTCACCAAGATGGAACAAAAAGCAATGATCCGAATCTGCAGAGAACATTATAATTCATAAACGATAAATCATCGGTTCGCCATTTCTATCCCTCAAGCTTGTTAAAACTTCTCGTCAGTGGTGGAGGTTAATGGCCTTCCTGCTCCTTCTCCGTTCGTCACGATTCTCCGGCCAATTTTAGAATTCTCGAACCACTCACACAGACGTTCAACCCGGTAGTGCACTGTCGCCATTTTGTGTTCAAAGCCTGTCATTAATTTCAGCCTCTGACACACCTTCCGAGCAGAGATCGAACCACTGCTCTTTGTTTCTCCATTTTATGTCGTCTGACCAGACATGGCCTACGTATTGAACTTTTCTATGGAAGAATTTTAGTTTTTATTCCAGTATTTGAAAGTTTTCTGCATTTAATTAAATGTTTAAATTAAGTGTATTTCCGACTGAATTTCATAAAGAGAGAAACGTCCTTTATAATTTTGAATTAATTTTCGTATATCTGAATAATTCTAAGATGCTGCATTAATCTAATCCACTCATCTATCTATCTATCTATCTATCTATCTATCTATCTATCTATCTATCTATCCCAGTTTCTTCATTCTATCTATCTATCTATCTATCTATCTATCTATCCCAGTTTCTTCATTCTATCTATCTATCTATCTATCTATCTATCTATCTATCTATCTATCTATCTATCCCAGTTTCTTCATTCTATCTATCTATCTATCTATCTATCTTGGACAGCTTACGAGGGTGAGCAGAAAGGTTCATAGGCCTTAATTATTTTCTTAGTCAATCCATACCAATTGAGATAAAACCAATGATACGCAAGCGGCAACTGTGAGTCCAAGAATTATGCTCTTGGATCTGTTAATATAAATTTGTTTTTGTTTTTTGCTTCTTTTTTTTTAACTGCATCATTTCCTTCCATTTCATCTGACTGTTCAAAGAAGACTTCAAACGTAACTTCTCTTGAAAATGGCGACTTCTCTTTAAAATGGCGACTATCTATCTCCTTTATAATCAGCCTATGAACTTTTCAACCCACCCTCGTACCTGGAAAGAAACAATGCAGTTATTAATAAGAAGAGTTGAAATGAATCCATGCAAGATTTCACAGCTCTAACTGCAATTATTTATAGTCGGCCTGTGAACTTTTCATCCCACCCTCATACCTGGAAAGAAACAATGCAGTTGAAATTAATGTATGCAAGATTTCACAATTCTAGCATCACTCCTTCAGCCTATGTACTTTTCAGCCCACTCTTGTACCTGGAAAGAATCAATGCAATTATTAATAAGAAGAGTTGAAATAAGTGCATGCAAGATGCATTTATAGTTAGACTTCGAACTTTTCAGTCACACCATCGTATGGAGAAAAACCTTGTCAGTTTTGAATAGGATTAGATAGGTTTGCCTAGCGATCGTTTCTCACTCCACCCCGATGTTTTGAACAGGAGTAGAGGTTTATCCCTTGTTTCTTTCTTAGGATTGTTGTTTCCCTCTTAACGGAAAAATAAACAGACTTTTTTCGTGTATTTTTTGTCATTATTAGGCGAATTTGTTAAGTTTTCCCGTAAAAAATGCATGTTAACATTTTATTGTTTTTTTTTTTTGTCTCTTTTTTCAGAAAGCCACGCTGAAGTCTCTTGTGGTGACCAGTGACATTAAGGTGCGTTATGCAAGGACTTTGGTCTCAGCCGAATACTTCAACGATAAAAACTCTCCGGCAGTCGCTGATTTTCAAGTTACCTTACCAGACAGAGCCTACATATCCAACTTTTCCATGTAAGAATTTTCATTTTCCCCCAGCCTTTAAACAGAGAGCTCATTAGCATACATGCAGCCTTCACAATAATTACTGATCATATCTGTGCTCATAAATTCCCATCGCCATCAGTGGCACTTCCATCTTTCCAGTCTAAGCATTTTAGCCTCAGTCAATTTCGGAATCGTCATGAATAATGAAACAATAAACGAAATATACGACAATGGTGAAATACCGGAAGACATTGGTAGATCATTCTCCACAACGATGCTAAATATGTCAGGTGAAATTGAATGAATGTTCCAACGAATAATCAGCTTAACCATGCGCCACATGACTAAGCTTATAATTAGAATTACAATTAATGATTAAGCTTATAATTAATGATTAAGTTTATAATTAGAATTACAGTTAATGAAATTCGTAGAAGAATTACACAAAAAATCGGTGAAGAACAATGCAAACGTTTTAAGGCACTGGAACAAGAAATGCTATCTTTTTGATCAGATTCCTATCAGAGTGAACAATATAATGGTAGAAGGACGTACAGCTTTAATCTACACAGCCAGGAACTTTCTTTCTTTTTTCTTTCTTTTTCTTTTTCTTTCGAATTTCTTCTTTTCTTTCTTTTTCTTTCTTTTCTTTCTTTTCTTTCTTTCTTTCTTTTTCTATCTTTCTTTTCCCCTCATTTCTTTTTAATCTATACATCCAAGTTTTTTTTCTCTTCCTTGTATTCCTGTCTCCACCAAGTATGGGTTTTCTTATATTTTTATTTATATCCGACTAAATATGTCCCCCCCCCACGCGCACACACATACATATGTATGTATATATGTATTACTCAGTTCTCATATAATCATATGTTCATTTTACTTATATGTTAATATCTAAATCTGGATGCTTTTCATTTGGGGATTTGCTTTATTATATTCGTACGGTGGTTAGATCTAAGTCATACGTATTTTAAGTCATTTGCTAGAGGAATTTCTAGATAACATGGATTCTATTCCTTTATAGGTATGTGTTGTTATACTCACAGGGTTTTTAGATCTAACATTCACGTATTTTAATTTTGTGTTGGGTTTCATGTCTGGGGAGACATTGCAAGTTTGTAGATTTAATTTCACATCCAAATATTCACTGCGATCTCCATTTCAAAGTCGAGGCTTTTCAAGAATTTGAAGACCACCTTTCTTACATATTCATTTATTCTTCTGTTCTCTGGCACTATCATCAGTCCGTCATCCATGGTTGTCTGTGCGTACTTTTTGTTAATTTTATGTAAAACTAGATTCCCAAGTTGGCATCTACGCGGACGACACTACAATTTACTCCTGCCTCAAAAACAAATCTAGTGCCGCTGACAAAACTAACCTGGCCGTACGTCTTGAAATGGACCTCCAATCGGTTGTTAACTGGGGCAAGAACTGGCTGGTCAACTTTAACGCCTCAAAAACTAAACTACTCTCTATTAATCACCATAGAGATCCTTCCCTGCCCCCCCCCCATTAGAATGTCTGATAGTCAACTTCTTGAGAGCAACTCTTTGCGTCTGCTCGATCTCACGTTGACTGCTGACCTGAGATGGAACAAATACATTGAGTCAATTGCATCGTCCACCGCGAGGAAAGTTGGCTCTCTGTGCCGCGCCGGGAAATTTTTTTCCCCGGAATCGATACTTCAAATATACAAATCAACCATTCACCCTTGCATGGAGTATTGCTGCCATATATGGTATTGGGCACCTTCTGTTTACCTCGGAGTTCTTGACAAGATCCAGAGACGGATATGTAATATAATTGGCCCTGATCTGGCATCTCGTCTACAGTCACTCTCTTACAGACGCGCCGTCGCCTCTCTCTGTCTTTTCTACAAATACTTTCATGGTAATTGCTCCGCTGAGCTGCTTTCACTGGTTCCCAGACTTCATGAATTCAAGCGCCGGCTCTCACCCTTACACTGTAGAAACTTTTAAATGTAGCCGTCTCTTCTACTCCAATAGCTTCATAACTCGCACCTATCGCCAGTGGAACACCCTTCCCTATTACTGTTTCCCTGAGAGCTATAATCTCCAACTATTCAAATGTAATGTCAATCGACATCTCCAGTTACCTTGATCTATCCACTATCCTTCTCCTCATCCTTTCTTCTATCACTCCTATCTGATCTTGCTCCTAATCTTCTGCAACCACCCCCTGCATCCGAGTGGCTTCACGCCTTGCTCGGGGCGTAATGCTTAAAAAAAAACAGTCTTTCTTCTTTCGCATTATTTATTGGGAACAAACCAACTGCATACGGGGGGGGGGAAAGACAAGTATGGGTTTTCTTATATATTTTTCTACATCCCTCTAAATATGACCACACACACACACACACACACATATATATATATATATGTATATATTACTCTGTTCTTATATTCTCATATGTTCATTTTACTTATATGTTAATATCTAAATCTCATATATATTAATAAATAGCTGTATATTAAAAACTTAGAAATATGTCGATAGAACAAATATTAAGGAATGAGGAATAAGACATGGATTTCCAGGGGCATCATTGGCTCTTTCATTTATTCCACCTACGCATTTCAGCCTTGGTTGATTTTGGAATCAACACGATAACTGAAGTATTAATCAAAATATACGACAGTGGTGAAATATCGGAAGGATTCAGTAAATCTCCATGAGTATGCTAAAGGCGTGTATAAATGAATCCAAGCTCCAACAGAAAATCAACTTAATCAGAGTTGTTTCCGGGCCAGTCGATAATACTTTGATTTTTCTCACTGGTAAGGCTTGTCAGTATGTTTCTGAAGCGTTACAATTTTCGTCCGCTTCCTTGGAGTAACATCCATCGTAGACAATGGCCGTAGGACAACTAATCGACAGTCGAGACAATGGTGTTTGGGCGTGATAAAAATCTGATGAAATCACGGATGACGCAATATTTTCAAGGCCAAACAAATTTCATCATACACTCTGAAAATAGATTCATATTACTGCACACCACTGAAAATGACCTAATCTGAGATAAAAATAGAAATCGATTACACCCTGTAGCTTCAGTGGGTCTAAAACTGACCGTATGGTGAAAGAAAAGAAACAAAAGCAGCTGTTTCAATTAATTTGCACAAGGGTGTATTTATATAAAAGACAGAGGGAAGCTACATTACGACGGTGTAAAAGGGACTGAAACCGAGATGCCAGGTCAGGACCAATAATATTGCAGTTTCTTTTTGGGATTTTATCAAGAATTTCTAAGTATATAGTACTAGACCAGATGTAACAACAATATTCAAAGCAAGGGCGAATGGTAGAGTTATAAGCATGTAAGATAGATTCTGGCGAGAGAAAAAAATTTCTAGCACAACACAGTAAACAGACTTTCTTAGCAGCAAAGCGAGCAATTGATTCAATATATTCTTTCCACTTTACGTCAGTTGAAAACATTTATCGGAGAAGGTGCAATAAGTCACTTTTCTGGAGGTTAGCATCAGCCTTGCTCATGGAAGGTAAAAATACTTCTCTCAGATTGCCAAATGTGAACAGTTTCATTTTTAGGCTTTAAAATTAACAAGCCACTCGACCCATTTAACAATACTTAATAATTTACAGTATAAAACCTGTTTCAACTGGGAACAAATCTTGGCTTACATGGGAAAGACATCAGAATAAACCGGCTCGTTTACTGGGAACGAACTGTGTGCAGGCAGAAAGAAACGAGTTAAACAAGTAACCTAAAATAGAAAGTCAAGTACACCTTTTCTCGCCTGATATATTTAACTAGAAGTAGAATCCGGCGTTGCCCGGGGATATAACAGTAAGAGATAGATCAAGTATCCACCATCATAAAGACAAAAATAAAATTGACAAAGATTATTGTTTAAGGTTGATGGACACGCATGTCTTATTTTTTTTTTTTTTTTACGAATTGGTCAAACCCAAACTGAAACAAAAACATTGTTTTCAATCGTTATGAGTCTACCGATTTAATAGTAATTTGTTACAAACAATTGTCTTGTAAATAGAATTTTTAAAAGCATTCTGAATATTAAAAATAAAGAAAAAAGTGTGCAAGAGAATAAGAAACACTAGCTGCCCCCCCCCAAGTGAATTTTAGTTTATCGGCTGAAAAATGTAGGAAATCCGATCCCATATATAAAGGAACACACACACACAAACAACCTGGGTTTTAACCCATGTGAGTTGTCCCCCATTCACACGATGTCTCTTCATCGTGTTTTCAAATTGATTTTTTGTGCAAAAACAATTATTTTTTCCCATTTTGGCGCTGTTGTAACCACCACAAGGTAATTTTATGTAGTCCTGTGAAGTTTTGTTGAAATCCAGTTTGAAAATGTAAAATCCGATCCAATATATAAACGTTACACACACACACACACACACACACACACAACACACACACAAAAAACAAAAACAAAATTTTTATAATAAGTAAGATCTTGAACAGCGATATGATCCAGAAGAGAACATGCTGATGGCGATGTGGTAAAGACAAAAACATCCTTCTTTTATGTGCCGTATCCTTTCAGGCGATAATGGCTCTCCACTTCCCCCTATCCCTTGTGGCAATTCCCCCAGACCACGTTCTGCCATCCACGTTGCCTAAGCCCTCCAGGGATGTCATGCGTTGCTTACCCGTATCTTTTTTTCCCTCTATTCAACCTGTGAGTATCAGATTCTTTGAGCATGTCACCGAGGTGGTTGGAGCGTTCGCATTCTGACTATGAGACCCGTGTTCGAATCTCACCATGGTCGATTTATCAGGAAGGATTGGATAGTCGATCCCAGCGTGCGTCACCTTTGGAAAATACCTGAAAACAATACCACGGGTTGAACCAAGCGTTGTGAGTGAAATTGCGTAGACGGCACCGTCGATAGCTACCGTTGATAGCTGTGCTAGCACGAAGTCACAAGTCATCGTAGCCGAGGGCTTGAGCGTGCTGGCCTTGTTCAAATTGTTCACGCTAGATAACACGCTCTTTCCCAGAAAACTGTAACTAAGGTCTGCTCAGCATAATTGCGGTACTATCCACGGTTGGGCTCTGGGGGTGTTGAATAAACACAAATGCGCCTGAGCAAGCGTCTGCAATAGGGATTGGCTAGCTGCCCTAGTAGACAGGTATCCTCGAATATGAGGGACTAGCTATATATCAGATTGTCCAGGCTCTCCTTTTTAATTACGTGACCCATTTTCATTTGCCTTCTTTCGGATTCAGCATTTCTACCAACATAATATATGATGACATGCACTGATAGCAGACACAAAAGAAACTACAAAACCTCCTACATGAAGGTAGCGAGGAGAGAGCGAGAAGAAGGGAATAAGCATAAACTACAAGAAGACAGAATACAGAAACATCCAGCTGATTGAGTTTGTTTAGCGGCATATCAACACCTCTATGGGTTAATGCTAAAATTTAAATACGTTGTTCGTAATTTTATAGTGTCAACATGTATATTTTATAGATATATACTTTGTAGTTGATCTATTGTAAGTTTGGTTTGATTGAATTTGTTTAGCGGCATATCAACACCTCCATGGGTTATTTAATGCCGAAATCTAAATGTTTTGTAATTAATTTTCTGCTTACAACTACCCATATTTTGTACATATTTTTATATTTTCAGAATAAAAAGTACGCTTTTTTTAGATATATAGTTTATAGATCATAAAATGTATTGTTGATAATTTTACTATAAAAATTCATTTTTATATTTTT